AGCCAGTGAGCGGGAACCGGTCAGTATGTGGGATCCGAACCCTCGGGCGGGAGCGCCGCTGTGCTTCCCAAGCGGTGCACTATCCAGTGCGCCACCGGGCCGGCCCCAGGGACTCATTTTTATGTGATCAGTACAGCAGATGTATGCATGCACACAGTGGATATTATGAGAGTGTTGAGGATTTTTATGTAAAAATGTAGAGTTGTTCTTGTTCTGTTTTGTTTTGTCAGCTGGCTGTTACCAGGGATCTGAACCCATGACCTTGGTGTTAGCAGCACCATGCTCTAACCAATGAGCTAACCTGCCAGCCTCCAAATGTAGACTTTTATAAAATAATATGTGAAAAAATGTATTAAAAGTAGAAAATATACTTCAGGAGTACAGTGACTAAGTTAAGTGACCCTCCTAAATGCAGACACAAATGTTTGTTTACACCACAGAAGTATTTCTCCAAGTGTGATCCCCAGACTACGTTGATCCTCAATAAAATGCATATTCCTGGGCTCCCAACCTACTGATCTTATATCTCTGGTGAGGCCTGGAAATCTGCATTCCAGTTGCTTCATATTATGATTTTTTTTTTTTGTCCTTTTTGAGACCGGCTGCACCGCACTCAGCCAGTGAGTGCACCGGCCATCCCCACATAGGAGCCGAACCCGTGGCGGGAGCGCCCCTGCGCTCCCAGCGCCGCACTCTCCCCAGTGCGCCACGGGCTCGGCCCTCTGGTTGCTTCATAGATGATTTTTATGCAGACTGAAATTTGAGCACCAAGTGTACTGGACAGAAAGTTAGGAAGCAAACTACAGGCAAAAAAAAAAAAAAGTACAGAATGAGGACATCTCTTAGAATGCATAAAATGGTGATTTGCTAACTTAAATAGGGGAAATAATTCAAGTACAATTCCTTTGCTAATTCTTACAGAAAAGAAGTTTGCTTTTCATAGGGTTTTTTCAGACCTTTTTACTTTTACTTGTTATTTGAACAAACAGTATATTGTGAATTGGTGTGATTATTGTATAGAATTCCGAAAACTATTTTAATTTTACAGGTTTGGCTTGACAGATAACATATACTACGTGACAGAACTCAACACTCAGGCCTTACGAGAATCCCCTACCGTACCTGCTGTTGCTATTGCGGTCTCACAGGTAAGGAAACAGAGGATTAGGCGATTAGCCAAAGGCCAATTAGTGGCAGAGCTTTGAGTTTTTCATAATTTTTTCTAAGTACTAAAATGTTCTAAACACTGAAGGAGAGAACCCAGCACAACAATGTGAATGTAATTAATACCAGTGAAGGGCACACTTGAAAAGAGTTATAATGATAAATTCTATGTTATGTATGATTTCCCCCAATAAAAAAACACTGTGACCCAACATGAGATGGCCTGTTCCTAAGAATGGATATAGGGAGAGCTGCTAGAAAGCAGTCCTTGATTTAGGGTCCTAAATATAGGAATCATGTATGATTAACTGAAAGAATGAGCAGAGAACATGATGAAGACTCCATAGCGTGTCTTTTTCCTCATCATCTGGGCCAAGGAGAGCATGTGTCACCTTCCTCAGAGACAGTTAAGGGAAGAGCGTATCTGTCTAAACTGTACCCTAACGAGCCGGGATCTGCAGCTGCGTCCTTCTCTGCGAACTCTCTCTGACATGCTTCTCTTCTTTTTCAGCTTCTGCATCACGTTTGGCCTTCTAAGTGACAATGCTACCCTGTGTTTTTGTTTTGGTTTTAATGAAAAAGCAAAAACACAATCTGTGCTGGCGGAGGACTATCCTTAGACTAGGGCTGATTGTTCTTGGATCAGAGATGTCACCTGTGGTGGGGTCAGCTAGCTCAGTTTGGGCTTCTCTGTAGCCAGCAGCAGAACTCAAAATTTAATCATGATTTGTTGCAAGTGGAAACGGGACAAATCTGACATGAATAATGAAGGAACTTTAAAATGGGAAATGAGACTTTTTGGTCACAGCTTGCTCCCTTTTCTCACAGTTTCTGAGAGTGCAAGATTTGGGGACAGCTGGATTAGAAAGAAACAGCAAAATACATTACTTTTTAAATATCACCTTCTTGGAATAAATCAAGCAAACAGTTATCAGTCCATGTATAAATATTTGTGAAGACCCTTTACACGTGTAAAATATCCCTTTCCTTAGGAAGCTTGCTATCACATCGAGGAGGTAAGTAGAGATAGACGGTAGATACAATAGACAGATGACTATGTTTCCATAGATACGTGACACTACATAAATTCAAAATGAGCCAAGTTCTGTAGATTTTCAGAGAGGAAGAAGTTACTATGGGCCAAGATGGTCAAAGAAAACTTTACAGAGGAGGTCAAAGTTTGAGCTAGGCCTTGAAAGATGTTCAATATTCAGACTGGGAAAAAAGAATAAGGACAGCGTTGCAGGCAAGAGAAAAGCATGCAGAGGCACAGGGGTTGTTAAATATTACGTGTCTTTGGAGCACCAGTGAGCAAACAGTCTGGCTAGAGCTATGGGACTAATGCAGTCCACTGGAATGAAGATGAGACCATTTCTCCCAATTCTCTGCTTTCCTGCATCAGTACGTGCCCATGCCTGTTGCCAGGTGACTGTGTGGTAGCTTCCCCTAGAATGGATAAAGTTATATCCTCGCTTTGCTTGTGTTGGGTTTGGCCATGGGACTTGCTTGGGCCAATAGCATGTGGGTGGAAGGACAATACACCAATTCTGAGCAGAGGACTCGAGAGGCATATGTCTTTCCCCTCATTTGCCCACATTCTTGCCATTCACCACGAGGAGAACATGTCACAGGTATATGTTGTCCAAGGACAATAAAAGACATGTGGAACTACCCGAATACGACTCACATTCTGGATCCAAGGACAGATGACTTGCAGACTCAGGAGAGTTGGTTGCTATAAGCCACTGGGATTCTGAGGTTGTTTTTTATGCATCAAACACTGACTGATACTCACTCACATGCCCACACTGGCTAGTGAGAGGACCAGGGCACCAAAGCCATGGGTAGACCTTCCTTTAACACAGTAGCTCATACCAGGGACCATAAAGGTGGTTACTGTATGACTTTCCTGGGTGGTTAAAGATTGTCCTTGGTGGGTAGAGGGAGGTTGGAAGTAAATGGAGGAAAGATGCTGCTATAGATTGAATTGTGTCCCCTAAAGTCCATGTACTAGAAACCTAATCCTCACTGCAACAGTGTTAAGAGTGTGGGAAATCCTATTATGATAATTGAAAGGCAGGGCCTTGAAAAGGTGATTGGATTGTGAGAACCATGCCCTAGTCAATGGATTAATCCATTGATGGTTCAGTGGTGGTCATGGGCATGGTTCTGATGGCTTTAAGAGGAGAACACATGAGAAGCTCTCTCTGTTTCTCCATCTGCCATGTGACATGCTGCTTTGCTGTGAAGAGTCAGTTCCCACCAACAAGGCTCTCACCAGATGTGTTCTCTGGACGTTGGACTTCCCAGCCTCTGAAACTGTAAGCAATAAGTATGGTTTCTTTGAAAATTACTCAGTTTTTGGTATTTCTATTTTAAGTAACAGAAACGGACTGATATAGATGTCAAGAGGTAATTTTCTCCTGCAGTGGCTGGCAGGCTGTGGCTGGGACCCTTCTGCACCCGAGAGGAAGAGGAAGCAGCATTCCTCTCTCTGCTCCTTACTCGCGCAGCCAACAGTAAACCAGAACCACCACCAAATTTCAGTTAAGAAACAGAACAATCTATGGAATAAAAATTGCATAAAATATCCATAGTGATTACCTTGTTAGAGAGTAGGATTATGGGTGATGTAAAGTTTCTTTTTTACATGTTTCTGAATTTTCCAACTTAAAAAAAATTGATAGTATTTTTGAAGTCAGAAAAGAGAAGTTATTAAAAGAAATAAAAAGCAGGACAGTAAGCTCGCAATCTTACATGAATTGACTTGACCAACACCTTCTCTGAGCAGTAAGAATGGCTAATGTTAATACAGGAATAATTTGCCATCTCCAGACCCAGTCCTCAGATCTCTCTTTTAGCAGTAAGAATGGCTAATGTTAATACAGGAATAATTTGCCATCTCCAGACCCAGTCCTCAGTCCTCAGATCTCTCTTTCTGATTCAGGTGATGGGGTTCAGGACACGGTACCCCAATATATGGCACCTTGGCATTTGAGCAAACAGCAGAAGCAAGAGGGTGTCTCTGGCCTTCTCCCACCCTTCTCCCCTACAGCAGGCCATAAAGAATTCTCTGACCTTCCTCTAAAGCAGGTCATAAGACCTTCACGACAGATGCGCCCTATACCGAGAGGAAAGGAATGTCCTTAAGTCCGAAGACACAGGCACACAAAGAAGAATCTGAACAAACAGGCCTTGCTGGCTTCCCTAGTTTATTCCTATTAGATCATACCCTTTTGTCCTCCAGTCATACTTCTGCATGACTGTCCATACAAATACACAGTTTTCCACATTTTTATAGGCCTTCATTTCTGAAGGCTCCCGGGTCATGTAAAACTTATATTAAATAAATTTGCATGCTTTTCTCATGTTAATCTGTCTTTTGTTATAGGGGCCTCAGCCATGAACCTAGTGATGGGTGAGAAAAGAAATCTTTTCTCTCCTTCACAGGCAACATCAATGATTTTTGCACAGTGCGCTTTTTAAATAAAGTTGCTTTTATTAGGATAGTAACATTCTACTGCTCCACCCCACTTTCCCCAAAAGAGGTAGTACCAGCTGGGCATGAGGACCCTGTAGGGGAGAAAAAGTAATATTTTTCCTCATCCATAGCTCCCTTTAGTTATTCCAGCATCAATAAGCACCAAATATGAATAACAAAGAAAAGAGCATCTTTAAAACAGGAAGCATTAATGACTAATAGTGCATTAAGGTATATTGGAGTAATGGAGCCAAACAGAAACAGGGACAGAAGAGGAAGATTAAATGACAGATAGATATGTTTGGGATTTTAAATGAAAAGAAACGAAGTGGATTCTTTTCTTTCTGTACCCTGCATAGGGCTTTAGTTTACCTATGGCCTAAGAGTTTGTGTTTATTTCAAAGGAATACATTTGTGATAGTTTTGAGATAATAAATGGTGTGGTTAGTACACAGGTGACATTAAAAAAAAATCTTCCATACCTTATAGAGTTTAACAATATGAGTATACAGGTCATCTTACCTGGGGGTTTTTAAATACAGCATATTTTTCTTCCTTCTCCACAAATAGCACTTTATTTTCTGTGTCTCTTGTCCAGTCTGATAAGACTTCAACAACATTTTCATGGTCTTCAAAAAATCTCTCTGATAAAATAAGAAAAGCTATTCTTTCAGATCCAAGACATGGTTTCCAGCTGCGATACAAGCTATTATTGAATTAAACACAATGCTTCATAATTTTCACCAAGGCTTCTAAAATTCTTAATTCTTACATAATGTCACATTGTTATATCCCTATTATGTTTATCTTTCAGTGTCAGATCTTCAATTTATCTTGCATAAAAAAATCCATAACACACAGTGACAATGCTCAGCAATCACACTTTTTTCATGCTAGCATTTTTTGCTCTAAATAGTCCCAAGGTGGAGGCAAATATCCCATCTGTGAAGAGGACAATAAGGCATGAAATTGCGAGATCCCCAATGTGTACCCTAAAAACATCACTCCCTAAGACTCTAAAAACAATGTACAAATACCTGAACCAAACTGAAACATGAAGGCAGGCTTTCATTTTTCTCCTTGCCTCATAGACTTGAAGAAAACTTCAAGGGACTGTCTTAGTCTAAAGTAGTCCCCCTTATCTGTGGCTCTGCTATCTGCAGTTTCAGTGACCCTTGGCCAACCTCGGTCTGAAAATCTTAAATAGAAAGTTCCAGAAACAAACAACTCATAAATTTTAAATTGTGCACCATTCTGAGAAGCATGAGGAAAACTTGTGCTGTCCCGCTCTGTCCCACCGGGATGTGAATCATTCTTTGGTCCCGCAGATCCACGCTGTCTACGCCACCTGCCCTGTAGTCACTTAGTAGCTGTCTTGGTGATCAGACAGACTGCCACAAGATCACAGAGCTTGTGTTCAAGTCATTCTTATGTTACTTCATCATAGCCCCAACGTGCAAGAGAGTGGCAATTTGGATGTGCCAAAGAGAAGGTGTAATGTGCTTCCTTTAAGTGAAAAGGTGAAAGTTCTCAACTAAAAAGATAGAAAAAAAATGCTGAGGCTGCCTAAGACCTACAGTAAGAATGAATTTTCTATCCATGATACTGTGAAGGAGAAAGAAATTCGTGCTAGTTTTGCTGGTGGACCACGAACTGCAAATGCTACAGCCACGGTGCGTGGTCAGTGCTTAGTTAAGATGGAAAAGGCACTAAATTTGTGGGTGGAGGACACGAACAGAAATGTGTTTTGATTGATGGCAATCAGGTTCGTACTATGTGTGGTTCAGGGATCCACTGGGGGTCTTGGAACACATGCCCTGGGGATAATGGGGGACGACTGCAGACCATTTCTTCCAGAAAAAAACTTTCACCCAAAGCTTCTAAAACAGGTGATTGTGTCTTCCACTCAGCTCTTCTGGGAGACAACTGTCCTGTGAGTGCTATTGTGTATGAGAATTAACAGAGTATTTCTTTAATTGCCTTGTGCTTTTTTTTTTTTATTCCATCAATTTCTACCAACTGTCCCTTGCTCTCCGGGGCTGAGCCTCTTCCTCTAGACAGTGTCAGAGATTAGGCGAGTGTGGAAGGAGGAAGGGGAGATGAGCACGAATGTGGGGCCTGAGGCAGAGTCACACTGTAGTTTGAGGAGTGACCTCTAAAGAGACATTAGCTGGCAGATACCCGGGCTCTCCCACAATCTGCTCAGCTTCCTAAGCACGCAGTAAGAAGCACCATCCTGCCACTTTCTTTCCCTTATGGAACCACTGGAGAGGTGGCAATAATAAATAATGCTTCCATCCCCCAAGGTCAGGCCACCTGCTGCAATCCGAGTCTCTTCAGCACAAAGAAATGAGACAAGCACTAAATCTGCCACAAAGGAAGTGACAAATGGGATATCTTGAGAGCCCTGAACTAAGCTCTTCTTAAGAATAGACCAAAGCCCATCATAAAGCAAACCCACAAGGTTTTTGCAGTTCATTGCTGGGGCTGGGACTTACCAATTTGTAGCTCTGGGTATATTTCATAAAGACACCAGTCTACATTGCAGTCGCAGTGAGTTTTCTCAAAAAGGTTATCCAGAACATCTCGGGCCAACTGCCGCTCGTCCACCATCAGTGACTTTGTGCTGTTGTCATTCATGTGCACCTTGATGATGAGCTGAGGATAAAGCCACGGAGCAGCCAGTAAGTTTAAGAAACCGGAGCAGGCCACTAAGGTTAAGGTTTCAAAGTTGCTATTGTTTCTGCAAATTTAAGTAAGAATGTATTCTGAGAACTCACTCAATATAACCTGATTTGTGTGCCAGACACTGGTTTTAGGTGCTAGGAATATAGAGGTGGAGAAGTGGTGAGAACCACTTCACAAAAACAGAAAGCAAGCAATAGACACAGTCCCTGCCCAGCCTTTGGAGGCTTTGCATTCTGGTTGGAGAGTCAGAGGTGGAGAAGTGGTGAGAACCACTTCACAAAAACAGAAAGCAAGCAATAGACACAGTCCCTCCCCAGCCTGTGGAGGCTTTGCATTCTGGTTGGAGAGTCAGAAAAAAAACAGAACCAAAGAAGTTCTGACTTCTTGCTTTCCCAACATTTTTCTGTTATTTGTTCTGGTTTCATCCTGGGGCCCAACAGCATTTCTTGATTGAAAGTCATGCCTGTATCTTTATAATAAATTCTTCCCTTTTGCTCAGCTGGAGCTGGGTCCCATTTCATGCAACCCAAGAGTCTGAAGACACCATGTAAGACCCAGCTGGTTAATCTACAAGTCTTTGAAGGTCCGCAGAGCACACTGTGATGCAGTGTCCCTGAGGGACCTTACTGAGAGGTGGATTGTGTTACAGCAGAGCACGTTTGAGATCAGAGGTGGATTGAGTGAAATGAATGTAGACAGAGAAATGAGCTGCTCTGGAGGCGTGTGGGCAAATGATTGATTTTGTTTCCTTTTTATTCCATTAAAAAAAAAATCTTTTGAATTGATTTCACAGTCAAATTGGTAGTTCGATTGGGATTTCATTCCAAATCTGGAGGTTTGGCGGGAACAGAATTTACTTCTTATAAGGACGCAGGATATCACTGGCTCTTTGTAGGCAACTTGTCAGTTAGTAAAACTCCTGATCCCCCAGAAAGACCACGCTTTTGTTGTAATATAACAGAATTAATTCATGAAGTAATGCAGCTAGGGTCTGGATTTCTTTGATACCTGTATATTTGTAGTGCATTTGCCTAGGACTGGACCTGGTTATTTACCAATGAGACTTATAATTATTTAAAAAGTGATTAGATGACCCGGAAAGGAAAGAGAGGCCATAAAATTGGTAGCATTTCTTCCTCTCCAAAAGTTTGGGTTAGGTTCTGAGCAGCTGGGAACATGTCCTTTCTGTCCCCTTCCTACCAAACCTGACCTTGAAAACATTGTGTAGTTAACAGAGTGAAGAGTATAGTTCCTGTAGATTGTTATGCAGTTACTGCTAGCAACGGAAGGTTGTGCATGGTGATAAAAATCTGGGTAAGAAGGCCAGACCACAAGTTGAAACACCCACACAACACCTCCTCCTCCCAACACCCACCACCCCTAAGAATCAAAAATGTAGACATTGTTAAGAGTGCACTTTTTCCTCTGGGGACCATTCAAATTAGACCCTTCTCCAAGGCTTGCCTTAAGAATACTCTTTTCCCTTGAAAACCTGTAGCCTAGAAACCTGTAGTTGGATAGTTGCTTTTTTCCCTATGTTTGTTTTTTGATGTATTTAGAATGACAGGCCTAAGTACCACAGTGTCAAAGATGTATTCATCTGACCATAGAAATGAGTCAGGGAGGGTTGCATGGAACAACAGAAATTCCTCAAACAGCAGTCCTCACTATGATTTATTTTCTGTGGAAGGCATACTTCCTGCTGTCTGCTGAGAATTATTACTGTAAAACAGCTACTTGTACTAAGAAACACTACCAATGTTAGGGCTTAGAAAACTTAAACTTCCTGATAAAAACATGAATGATGTTGGACCATATTTCAGTTCTGCTTAGGAATTCCTGGGAAAATAAAACATATGTTAGTATTTTTTTTATATATATAGAAAAAAATACTAAACCACATAATTTGACAGTGATGCAAGTTTTTTTTTTTTTGCAGAGATTGCCAACTAGATTTAATCCAGACATACTTGCGAATGTCCACAATTATAGAATTTAGAAAACAAACAAAAAACCAAGAGAAAGCTGGTGACTTTTAAAAAGAAGAAATTATATTTACTCTTCTTCACAGCTTCCACCACATTTGAAAGCTGAGGAGTAGCTCTATACCAACACATAACAACACTAAATCATAGTCATGTTATGTGACTTAGCAACTAAATTACAGTAATGTGATTTAACAAGCTAAGTCCTTTTCATATTTACACTATATGATATGGGACAAAATATTCAAGAATGAAAAAATTTCACCTTTCTAATCCATTAAATATTTTACAGTTTTTAGAGTTTCTTATTTTTTCTTTCACAAGCTGTAACACAAAAATATCCTAGCCCTAAATCATTAACAGCATATTTTTTTCTTGTACAATAAGATTTACAAATGGAACTGTTCTCCTGTGTCACAGAGCTTTAAACCAAATAAATAAAAGTAATGAATGAGTCTGATTCTGTTTCTAGTTCCAAAAGCTTTGTACCACAAGCTGTGTACATTATTCATAATTCAAAATGATGTCAACACCCCACAGAATACTTGAGGGCAAAGTACTTCAGATGACTTGATTTCTATCCTTTAAAAACATGTTGCAGATTATGTGTGAGTTCATTTCAATTACTTTCTTGATGTACGAGTATGTCTCAGTTATTTTTGTAAAACTCTGTGCCACAGACAGGCTTCTGTTTTAAGAAATACATTTGGAGTGTCTGAAATCAGAACGAATATACGACTCATCGTCATAATTTTCTTTCCTTTCCCACCCATCAGAGTGGCTTCTGCTTTACATCGTCTTGGTGGAATCAAGGCAGGGCGTGCTTTGTGTTTACTGTTATAATTCATCTAAACTAAATTATGGCAAAGTTCTCTCACTTTCTGCTACATGGCAGGACACAGCTGCCACCTCCTCCCGTTCTCTTAATCCCCAGCTGAGTGCACAGACTGAATCTCCCAGTTCTATCTTTTTATCTAAGAAACAACTTCTCTTTTCATTTCCCTCTGAAAACATATACAAGGTGGCCCTCATTTTATAAATAATCTAGTGCTTTGAAATAGTCTAATTATGAATTTTATTTTTACTCATTTTCTTTTGTCTTTTTATCTCCAAAGGTAGAGTCAGTGACTTGCTACAGCCCAGCCTCACCTACTGTCCATCTGTAGCTCAATTCAACACGTTTATCTATGTGTCAGCTTTTGTGCTAGAGTGAGCTACAGAACAGACTACCTACCCTCATCCTTTACCCCTACAATCTATTTTCCACTTAGCAGCCAACGTGATCTTTAAAAACCATTTATTCATCTCATTCTCTCCTGTTTAAACCCTCAGATGGCTTCCCACTGCACTTATAATACAATCCAAACTCCTTCTCTGGCCTGTGAATCTCTGTGGCTCCCATCAGCTGCTCTGACCTTGATTCCTTCCTTTGCTTTCAACCAACAGCTCAATGAGCAATGGCCACACAGCAGTTTGTTTTTTCCATCTTGCCAAACCCATTCTTTCCTGAGCGTCTTTCACGTTCCCTCTGCTGGGGCTGCCCCTGCACAGCCACATGGAGCAGCTGCTTCTGGCTGGAGGTCTCTGCTCCAGGGCTACGTCCTCCTGCTCATCAGCAAACCCATCTAAGAGAGTTGCCTGGACACTCCATCACTTCTTCCTGCTTTACTTTCTTTGTAGCACTCACCTCCCCACTAGAATTGAACTCTGCCTTTGCCGTGCCCACCTCTGTGTATCCCTGGCACCTGTTCTGAGACATGGGGAGGCATCAGTGGAGAAAAGAGACAAACCCCTTGGAGGGGCTTCTGTGGGCTTGGGGAGGGGATATAGGCAATAAATATGATAAATATGTAGGATTGCGATCAGCATTGAGGAGAACAACAAAGTAGTATGATAGGGAGTATTGGGGACGTGTGTGCATTGCTACATAGGGAGAGCCTCACTGAGAAGGTGACCAAAGACTGAAAAGAGGGACAGAGTGAACTTACTGAGAATCTGGGGAAGAGGCAGGGGGACCACCAAGTGCAAAGGTCCCCAGGCTAAGGTCATGGAGGAGGGTTTGAGGAGCAGCCATGAGACCAGGTAGCTAGAATGAGGTGAACAAGGGAGAGAGGGTTGGGAGGGGAGGCAGGAAGATGGCGGGCAGCCAGATCATCCAGGGGCTGTAGACCACCGTGAGGATTTGGCTTCACTGTGCCAGATGGGCAGCCATTGGAGACTTCTGAGCAAAGGAGGACAAGAAGAGAGAATGGAAACCGGAGCACAAGAGGAGAGGCTGGTCTTAGGCAGCAGTTGACAATTCATCCATAGTTTCAGGAAAGAATATGGGATATGTGTGCACAGATGTAGGAAGGTAAGCAGGTAAACCTGTTGGTGAGACCAACTTGTTGAACTTTCCTTTTGATTGCTTCTGTTTTCTCAGGGAAATGGGCAGCAAAATCATTGACTGAGAAGGTGGATGAGAAAAGAGGTTTTGGAAGTTTTAAAATCAAGGACAAGGTACAAATGATTTTGTAAGTTAGTGGAAGAGCATTGGACCAGAGAAGCTCAGGCAGCCCTGAGGGCTCAGGACTGAGGAGGAGGGGTGGGTTTAACTAGCGTCCGAGAGAAGGGAAAGGCAGGGAGGATGTATAATTCCAGTGATTGACCAGGGAATCTAATTACATGTGGAGAGCAGGGGAGAAAAATGGTAAAGACGTTTAGGCGTGTTTGGAATGAATGGAACCAGACTGATCTGAAAGGAAGCTTCTAGAAGAACTTTGAAAGTGTGAATCAGGGATAGTCAAGGCATGTTTATTGACTATCAATCAACAAGTACTGAATACCTTCATTCAAAGAACTGTAATAGGGCCGTGGGAATATAAAGTGCAAAGCCTTTACAAAAAGGACAATTCACCCAACTGTTAAGTAAAAAGTTCGTAATGAGTGTCAGAGCTGTTACATAAGATGAAGACCGTTTCATCTTTCCCTTAATTTGCCAAATTAACTATTATTAACACTTTA